GAGGCGCGATTGTTTGGGAGGCAATGGCTGGAGGCTGACGGGACAGAGGGTGGAGGGTGGGTTAAGGAAGGGAGAAAGGGAGAGTGGGGTCAAAGTTGGATTGGGGAAAAATGGAGAAAGAGATCAAAGCTGTGCATTCCTTTTTCAAACCCCATTAGGCATTCTTCTTCAACTCCTCGAAATCAAACCCAAGATGGATTTTTTTTTTTCTTTTATGGGTTTCATTAATTTATTTCTTTCATTATTTTGTTTTTCTGGGTTTGATTAATTCGTTTTTTTTGGGTTTTCTGGTTTAATTCGTTTTTCTGGGTTTTGTGGGTTCTTTTTTTGTAGTTGCTGGCTCGGGTGGAGGGTGGGGAGGAGCTGGGGTTCTGGGTTCATGGGGCCTAGGGTGAACAATGGTTGTTGGATGGGTTTGGGTGGAGAGAACGGTGGTTGTTGGATGGGTTTGGGGGTTGGAGCTTGAGGGTGGTGGCCATGGTGGAACGGAGAGAGAGAGAGAGAGAGAGAGAGTTTTTATTTCATTTTTCAATTTTTATTTATTTTTAATGTACGAAATGACCAATTTGCCCTAATATTTAACAGCAACATTGACAGAATGTAACGGTTGACCAATTGAGCGATTAATATATAATTCATGGACCATTTGAACGAAAAATTTAATTGAGGCCCCAAAATGTAAATCGCGTACAAGTTTAGGGACCATTTGAGTAATTTACCCTATATATATATATATATATGGACTTGTTGGCTGGGCTTTTATGGGTGGGCCGGGCTTTTGTGGGCTCAAACGAGCTATGCCTATGGGCCGAGCTGGGCTTTAGGCACACAGCCCAAGCCCAGCCCACTAAACAACAGGACGGGACGACCCATGACCTATAATGAGCCCGGTTGCCAAGCTTTTCCTAGATGGGGCCACATCGGCCCATATCATAGAGTGAGATTTGGGAGAAGGATTTGATTGAAAATATAGACTAAAAGGGGTGATAGAGAACTTTAATATAAGCATGTTTAGAAGAAATCACCACAAGGGGCTTTTATTCAAAACGCCCCAGTGGACTTATTCACTAACCTAAAAGAAAAAAGATGAGAAAGGAGAAGGGGGATGAGGGGCAGTGACGCTTCTTCCTCCTCCCCCTCTATATGGAGTTTTCCTTTAGGACTCATAGAGGGAAAGAATGGCTAGGATTTTTTTTTTTCCAGGGTAATACAATCTCTTAGCCAATAATTTGTAATTTTTATCTAAAGGCCCTCCCATTTGAGAGAAATAATAATAAATAATAAAAAGGGCTTCTAGGTTTAATGGCCCCTAAAATTTGACTAAATTCGCATTTTGGTTCCTCAATTATTGAAATCGTTCTCGTGGTCCTTTAACTTCAATTTCGTTAGGACAAATGGTCCCACCATCAATTCTGTTAATTTTTTCATTACATTTAAGGGTAAATGGGTCTTTTCATGTTGGTTTTATTTCTCCCTCATTGTGGAGAAATTATACAATAGTACAGTACTACCACGTGTCAGTTACAGGTGGTAGTACGCACCAATTGTATAATGACATGTGGCATGGCTGCTTTTTAAGAGAGAGAATGTTAACATCCAAATTTAATTATAACACCGTTAGTAACCAACTCTCTTTTTTGTTTTTGTTTTAAAATATAAAAAAGAAACCCTATGACACGTTCTGAGAAGAAGGACGAGTGGTGCAGCCACAAAACTATATTCTGAGAAGAAGGAAAAGTGGTTGTTTTCCAATTTCTGAGAAGAAGAAAGACTGGTGCAGCCATACCGTTCGATTGCTGCAGGTTATTTATTTTCCGATTTTTGAATGTCATTTTTATTCGCCCAGTTTGTCTCTTGTTTTTATTTTTTTGCCGATTGCTTCATGTTTTTTTTTCTTTCCCGACTTCTGCAGGTTATTTATTCGCCCACAACCGTTCGGAAAAAGACGACGCGAGATCTCGTCCTCGGGCTACAAATCCTACCCAAGACCAAACTTTCTCCGTCTCTCCTGTGTGCTCTTCTTTCTTTTTCTTGTTAAATAATTCCGATTTGGGGTTTAATACTTTTTGGCTTTTCTTTGTCAAATCTGAATCTTACTGCAATTTCTTGTTTAAGTTTCTTCAATTTTTGTCAAATCTGAATCAACTGCAATTTTTTGTTCTTTTTTTGGCATGATTTGCTTCACTTTTGGGGTTTTGGTTGTGTTTTAAATTGTGAGATGGAAGGGGTTTGATTTAGGTTTGTTTTTTTGTGGCATTCCATTCAGGTTATAAAATGATATGGTACATTGGGGTTATATTTTCTTGTTGCAATTAATACATGTTGATTTTATTTCTTAATTTCTGGGGTGTAGAAGTTCATTCGATTTGGGTATATTATTAATGGATAATACTAATTGCTCTGTTCTTTTGCTATTTGTTTTAGCTTACAATTTGAGTATATTGTTGCTATCTGTTCTTTTTTGGCATATGTCCTCCCCTGAAGGTAATTGTTAAGCTGATGGGTCTTATAGCTTCTTTGTTTTCACTTTATTTCCTTTCATTTGATTAAATACAGTTCCTTTCTTTTGAGTAATCATTTTATTTCCTTTCATTTGATATGCTCTTCAAACTTTTATGGAACTGCAGCGTGTCATTTGGATTCCATGGAAGGAGAAGGAATGTTGTGGGAGATGGATTGTACATCTCTTTGAGTCTGTTTCTCTAAGTTTTTACGGGTTCAAGTTTGTGTGGCAATGTATTGCAAGAATGGAAGACAACTATAATTTGGATTGGATTTCTTTAGTTTCTTTTTCTGGTGCCTAGATTGAAATAGCTATTTGTTTAGTTTGGGTTTGCTGTATCACGACATGTGCTTCTTGTCATTTGTTTGTACTTTGTACAGACTAAAATTTATGTTTAATGAAAATTTCATTCATTTTAAAAAGTTATTGGTAATTCTTCAATAATTTTATAATTTTTTGGCATTGTACTTTCTTAGTGTTGTGCTACTTCTTCTCATTTGTGAAAGTGGTCCACTGTTCAATTTATATGCCTTACAACAATTCTCTACGAGAAATTCCGTAAGAATAAGAGAAAATAATCATTGCTTTGTAATCTCAATGTTTCTTCCAACTAAAAAAAGAAAAGGTGGTAGAAGAAAAATATGATCATATATTCCATTAACAAATGATTACCATGAAGTACATCAAGTTTGAATAAAAAAAGTAACGACAGTAACAAACAATGACCATGAAGTACATCAAATTTGAATCAAAATAAGTAACAATTTCCAAGCATAAACGATTCTTGCATCTGCACCCAAAATTATACATCAAGTTTAGTTAAATAAGTAGACGAGTTAAAAGTAACTGAAAATAATTATAAATTATTTTAGTCTTAGACAATACCTTACGGAGACATTACTTCTATGGATTATGTTGCTGCTCATAAGTATGCGAATGTGAATCCTGCATTATATATAGCTTCATGTCAATCAAATATTTCAAAATAGGCATAAGCTATAGATAAACCAACTGAAAAAAAAAAACTGCAGCAATCGACAGAAAAAAAAAGGCAGCAATAGACTGAAGAAAAAAAAACTGCAGCTGCAGCAATCGACAAATAAAAGCTACAGTAATAAAATAAAAAAGTACGATTGCAAACACAAATCAAGGATATTTGTTTACCTCTGTCACTATCCATAGTTTTATAGCTGTAAGCTTGACCGAAAAAATAAATGGCTGCAAAAGTCTTCTTTTCATAACAGTGGTACAAATTTCGATAAAAGTAATTATGTTTTAGGGTTCCTTTTTTATATTTTAAAACAAAAACAAAAAAGAGAGTTGGTTACTAACGGTGTTATAATTAAATTTGGATGTTAACATTCTCTCTCTTAAAAAGCAGCCATGCCACATGTCATTATACAATTGGTGCGTACTACCACCTGTAACTGACACGTGGTAGTACTGTACTATTGTATAATTTCTCCTCATTGTGAAACTCGCCTTTACTCTGAAATTTGTTCAAAAAAGATTTCTGATATGCCTTGTAATGGACAAGTGAATGTTGAGACTAAAGCTCAAGGGCTAGGAGAGATTTTTGATGATGGGGCATGTTTTGATGCTTTCTATTATGATGGGAACACCTCGAATGATGAGAATAACAGTCGTTGTGTGACAAAAAAAGTAGAGGAGTCGCCTACCAACGTTCAAGAAATATAGGAGAGCTACTGACCTTAAAAATCCAGAGTTTCATTTGGGGATGCAGTTTGCAAATCGGGATTACTTGAGGTCAGTGAGTCAAGAATAGAAATAACCAAAATTTCAGATTCCATAAGCCATTTTCATAACTAATAACATTACAAGATTGCATAACTAATTTATAAAATTACATTAGCCCAAAGTTTTCACTGCCCTTACTCCCATACATTTCCCAGACATGTTCGACGCCATTATCATCATCAACATCACAATGACCATAAATAAAACACAGATGCCCACACTCATCCTTCATTCTCTTTGTGGATACCTCATCATATTATCTTTCAGTAAAAGTCTTGGCGAGTGGTTGCAATTGATTTTAGCGAGAAGGCGAGTTTCACAGTGGGGAGAAATAAAACTAACCTGAAAAGACCATTTTACCCGTAAATTTAATGAAAAAATTGACAGAACTAAAGGTGAGACCATTTGTCCTAACGAATAAGTTATACAATTCCAGGAAATCTGTCACTTAAAAAAAAATCTTTCAAAATTGTATACAATCCTAATTGAATACACTCCCCCTAAAGTTAAAGGACTGAGGGAACAATTTTAAAAATTGAGGGACAAAAATGAGAACTGGATCAAAGTTCAGGACCATTCAACCTAAAAACTCAAAAATAAAATAGCAGCGTTAATTGCATAACCCTAACTCCCGCCATTCCCTCTCCCCTCGCCTCTCTTCTCTCTCTTCTTAAAACCCCTACCCGGCAGGCGACATATTTCTTCTCTTCCTCGACGCCGCCGCACATCTGGCTCTCCATCTCTGCCGCCGCCGAACCATTCCGATTAGGTGCTTTTAAGTAAAAGGTGTTGATTTTCTACTTGCCCTCTTTTGGGTTTTCTGTTATGAATACCTGAAGTGATTTTTATGTGAAAGTCTCTTCTTTTGTCTTTAGAAGCTGATAGGTTTCCTAACATGTCACTGCACCTGAAACTAGTTTATTTGTAAAACCCCTGCTATTTTGTGTTAATCTCTGGACTGGGAACTTAATGATGATGCTTTGTTTTGGAAAGTCACTATCCCCAAGCATATAATGATTAATGAAGCTTTTTTTTGTTTGACAATGAAAAAATCAGAGCGTTTATTTGCTCTTATATATTGCCCAGAATAAAATTTGTATTTGATGTTGGGTTTTACCTGCTGTTCTAGTTTTTTTTTTTTTTTTCATTTGTGTTCTGTTTAATGTGCAGGAAATGGCTTCGTCTGATGATGATCGAGCCCCAGTGAAGGCGGTGGCGAAAGGGGCAGAGATAGAGAAGAAGAAGAAAAAGCATAGAGATAAAGACAATGATTTGGATAAAGACTTCATGATTAAGCCCCAGAGCTCGACTCCCTCCATGGACACCTCTCAGTGGCCTATCCTTCTCAAAAACTATGACCGCCTCAATGTTCGAACTGGACACTACACCCCTCTTCCCTCCGGGTATTCGCCCCTTAAGCGCCCTCTTGCTGAGTACATCCGATATGGTGTTATCAATCTTGACAAGCCCGCCAACCCCTCTTCGCACGAGGTTGTCGCTTGGATTAAACGCATCCTTCGGGTAGAGAAAACTGGCCACAGTGGTACTCTGGATCCTAAGGTTACAGGTAATCTCATTGTCTGCATTGACCGAGCCACACGACTTGTCAAGTCCCAGCAGGGTGCAGGGAAAGAGTATGTCTGTGTTGCACGCTTGCATTCAGCCGTGCCTGATGTTGCCAAGGTGGCTCGGGCCCTCGAAGCCCTCACTGGGGCTGTCTTTCAGAGGCCGCCTTTGATATCAGCAGTCAAGAGGCAGCTTAGGATTAGGACTATATATGAAAGCAAGCTTCTTGAGTTTGATGCAGATAAGCATTTGGTCGTTTTCTGGATTTCTTGCGAGGCAGGAACCTATGTGCGTACTCTCTGTGTCCATTTGGGTTTGCTTCTTGGTGTTGGAGGGCATATGCAGGAGCTAAGGAGGGTCAGGTCTGGGATTATGGGCGAGAAAGACAACATGGTTACCATGCACGATGTCATGGATGCTCAATGGGTGTACGATAATTACAGGGATGAGAGTTATTTGAGGAGGGTCATTATGCCTCTTGAGGTGCTCTTGACCAGTTATAAGAGATTGGTTGTCAAGGACTCAGCAGTGAATGCCATCTGCTATGGTGCCAAGTTAATGATTCCAGGGCTGCTCAGGTTTGAGAATGACATTGAGGTTGGAGAGGAAGTTGTGCTTATGAGTACCAAAGGAGAAGCAATTGCATTGGGAATTGCTGAGATGACCACTGCTGTGATGGCAACTTGTGATCATGGTGTGGTGGCAAAGATTAAGAGGGTGGTGATGGATCGGGATACTTACCCAAGGAAGTGGGGATTGGGACCGAGGGCGTCCATGAAGAAGAAGTTAATTGCAGAAGGGAAATTGGATAGGCACGGGAAGCCTACTGAGAGTACCCCTCAAGAATGGATGAGGAATGCGGTTTTACCTACAGGTGGGGATTTTATTGTTGCAGGCACTGCTGCAGTGCTTTCCACTGAACCTGCTGTGGCAGAGAAGAAGGAGAAGAAAAAGGACAACAACAAGGATGAAGATGAAGCTAAGGAGGGGTGTAAACGCAAACTAGAGGAAAGGGCAGAGAGCCCTGTTCCTGTTCCTGCTAAGAAGAGCAAAAGTGAAGAAGTTGAGCTTGAAGTTGAGAAGTCAGAAAAGAAAAAGAAGAAGAAAAAGGACAAAGAGAATGGTGTTTTGGAAGCTTCCGATGTGGAGAAGTCAGAGAAGAAGGTGAAGAAGGAACACAAAGATAAAGTTGAAGCTGGTTCACCTGAAACAGAAAAGTCTGAGAAGAAAAAGAAGAAGAAAAACAAAGAGGCCGAGAACAATGGTGCTGTGACCCCCACTGCTGCTGATGACGAGGCTGATAAGAGTGAGAAAAAAAAGAAGAAGAAAAAAAAGGATAAAGCAGATGCAGAAAAGGATTAGGAAGGATTTAGGATTTGGATCTTTAAATGGCAGAACTAGTTTTGAATGTATGCCTTCTTTTAATTCCATCTACAATGAGAATTTTCGTATGACTTTAAATTTTCTTATCTTATATAAGTAAGTTTAATGGACTTCTTTCTGGGCAGAACTAGTTTTTTTCGTAGTTTAGCCTTGTATTGCAGGCTGTTTTCTTCTTGGTCGTCTGAGTAATTTCAATTCACCATTTTCCCTTTTTTAGTCTTTGTTTTCTTCCCTCAAACGTATAAATGAAAATGCACTTCACTTGCTGTACGGTTTCCTTAAGTCTCAACAATTCAGTGATGCTGTTGAGTTCAACCTTCTGGTTTGTATCTCTGTCTCTGTGTATATGAATTATTTCTACGAGTTTAGAATTCAAGCAAATTGGTGGACATAATCTTTTGGGCTCATGGTTGTTTCAAAGATGGACTTGGTTTTTTTTTTTTTGGCCTTTGGGCTAAAACCTTTACAAAGAAACCATTGTTTGCATACCCTAAACCCTAACAACTACTGTTTTGGTTCCTCTTAAAAACAGAAGGAAGATTTGTGGAGGAAAGGGAGAAAAAGGGTTGTCTCTATGATCTTAAAATGCACGGACGACCCCGCAAAGCCCCGACAAGAGAAGATGAAGCAGGTTCAGCAGGC